CCTACACTTCATCTGAGGTACTTCATCTGCAAATACACGTCCAGGTGTCTTTCCTATGCTGATGACTTCTGCATTTCAGACCCAGGTGTCTGTCCAAACTAAATCCATATTCTGTCCTTCTGTCATCTCCTGCCAAGTGTTCAGCCACCAGCTGAAGCTCAGCATGAGGAAGCAGAGATCTCAATTACTCAGCAGCAGATAGCCTTTCACTCAACCTTACGCCTGCAGTTACACCTTTCATATGGGTCATTCCAGTTTCTGATACCTAAATCTGGTCTAAAAGCTTCCTGGCTAATACTTTCTGTTTCAAAGTAGCTATTCCTCAGACCCACTTGGAAATTTTGGACTGTGCTGAGATCCGGCTGCACAGACTACCTGTGTGGGACCTAGACAAACCCATTACTGAAGTAATGGGGTTCATACACTGATTTCTGTGAGAGGTGGATTAAAAAAAAAAAATCCTATCCAAGTTTGCCTGTAGAATATACAAGTGTCCTGAAATAGCCACACTGGATTTTCTAGGGGCAATTCCATTTTTTTTATTTGATGTTCATTATCTTTGAGGCCTTTGTCCTTTGAATCCTCCTTTATGTTCTAACCTGCAGCTAAAAGAAACCGAAAAACTTGATCAATAAAATGGCTCAGTTGGATGGTTAACTTTTCTCTCCTAAGCCTACTTGTCCTTTTGAGATTCAAGACAAATGCCAAAGGGCCATGTTAGTTATGGATACTAAAAATTATTAATACCACAGAAATACAACAGTAAAAGGAGATCTCAGCCAGGTTGTGTGAGAGAGTTGCAGCCAGCAGAATGTTTGTAATGAGACACTGTACTGGACCCAGGGGTTAGGTCACTTCTCACTTAAACAGGCCTTCTGAAGACCAGCCCACGAAGGCAATTGGTTATTGGCAGTTATCCGGGACCTGGGAGTTGCTTCTTGATAGTGATGAACATGTGGGAGGAATATTTCTGTCCTTGATGAATAGGAATCATCCTTAGAGTCATTCCTTAGATTAGATGAGAGTTGTTGGAACTTGGTTTGTGACTGTGTGGTTTTTACATGGTTCACTTCATTAAAGAGAGCTACCAATTCAGCCAATGAGAAAATTAAACCTGATATGAACTCACTTTGCTGGTTTTGTGCACTTTTAGTTTCAAAAGGGATTACCTGAAAATATTTTGGGTTTGTACATGGTTCCCATTACTGCATCTTTGTAGCTCTGAAGGTCTGTGTGTTTACAATATTCCTGTTCAGCTAGGGCACAGTTGTCTTGGTAATTTCATGTTTTAGAAGGGGAACTCGGGCACTGCAAGATTAAATTACATGCCACATGAGAAGTCTGAGGAGAAGCAGAGATGTGAAGCCAAATAGCCAAGCCCACTCTTGATTTCTACTGGCTTTTCTTTTCATCTCCTACATCCTGCCAATTCCCATCTGGTTTGGGACACTAGTGCCCCAAGAGATATATGTAGCTCTGCCTCTCTCTTCTGTAAAACACTGAAGTAGTTAAAGTAGTCATGATTAACTCCAACAACCTTATAAAAATATGCAATCTTGGACACTTACAGAGGAAGCCAACAGAGTAATATAATAGTATGTTATAAAAATTCTGTTATTGAAATAATTCCTGCTCCAAGATTTCCTGTGTATTTAGGCTACAGTCATTGCTGTGACACAGAGACACCCCAGGAAAGGGAGCTGAGCTCTGATGCAGAGTGACGACAGTGGTGGTTTTCCCTATTGCTTGTCCCCTCCAGGACAATCAGCAGCGCTTCCCTGTCTAACCTAAGCTACTGCTTTCTTAACCTTTTCAGATGACACCTCCCTCTTCATTCATAGGACCTCAAGTTTCCTAGAAAACCAGTACCTTAAATTTATATGTTAAGGGAGAGGTTCTCAAAAGCACTGGGCTTTGGTCCAGTTGATCCCTCTGAATACAGCAGGGGTTTCACCACTGATGCCATTCAATGGCAGCATGCTTAAGCCAAAGCAAAGTGTCTTTGACACTCACCCTTGGATTACCAAGCTGTAATCAACTGGCCATAGGAAGTAATTTTTAATTTTTCATTTTTCAGATGTAATGTTTCTTATCTCTTATGACATACGTATGCGAGAATACCAAGTCCCAGTATCAAGAAATGGATATTTCCTACAACTTTGTGCTTTTTGTGACACTGTCAGATTTAACAACAACTAATAACAATAATAACAATAATAATAATAATAAATACACAGTTTCCAGTGAGTTGACAGATGTAAATCAGGTATGCTGGAAAGGTCTCTTGACCAAACTCCCAGTAGCTACTGTGACATAGAAATTGATAATATATTAATAAAGATTTCAGAAATATTTGTTCCTTTCCCCTTTATAGTTAAGAACTGAGACCATGTTTGACCATTTCTAGTGATCCAAAGTCATGTTAGCTGGGGAGGAAAAGGTCTAGTATACCATCTGTTAGGGAAATGCTAAAATACTCAAGAAATAAGTAGTAAGTAACCCCCATTTTGAAGGAATGAGATGACAGGAGACCAAAAGCCCAAGTCTAGAAGAAATGAGTTAATATTTAGAAAAAAAACCCATATTTTTGCAATCTTTTCTGTAGGTATCAAGCTTTAAGAATTGAAATATTTGGAGCAGACAAATTATTATTATCTAACTTTACTATTACGGTTGGGAGTTTCAGGTTTAAATGACTCAATATGTATAAAAATCTCTAAGCTGAACTTTTTTATGTGGGAATTCCTTGTCCAAATCCTCACAGCTGGTAGCTAAATTCTGCCTATCCCACCCCTTTGGAGATAGGAAAGATTAAAGCTGTCATCTATAGTAGAACATACAGATGCCGTAACATGGAAGGGTGGTTGGTTTGTTTCCGGGTTTTTTTATGGAATAAACGTGGTATTTTTCTCTAGCTCTGTAGAAAGCAAGTGCACTGAGTGAGGTAATTTCTTACTATGCTTCTTACAGTTGTCTTGAAGTTGAAATTTGCACCTGGGGTACATTTTAAAACATATTTCTGGTCTCTCCCCCAAAGAAAAGCAGTTGAGCAGAGCACTGAATGGCTGCCCTTTAAATGCAAAAAGAAACGCACTGTCCCACTGTTCCTATATCCCTGAAATGGGGCAGGACCACACTGGGAGCCAAAAACCTTTATTTCTCATTCCTATTCTGTCACTCTTTGCTGTGTGTTTCCTGGCACCTCCTTGAAGCAGCCCGTGCTTCCGTTATCCACATTGCATGAGTGGAAATCGTGAGTGTTGTGAAATGCGTGCGCAATAAATGAGACCAAGACCATACCCCTCAGTGCGCACAGGTCGATCCATCAGATGCCTCGTCACTGAGCATCTTCATGCGGTTCTTTGTCCCGGAGGCTTCTTGGGTGGAGATGATGAAGGACATTGCTGATCACAGGTGGGCGGTGGTTGTCTCACAGATATTTGGGCACTGCATCTCTGGAAAAGCTGAGCTGTTTTGCAGCAATTTGAATTGCTTTTTTCTGCAGAGCAAGGTGCAAATACCTGGCTTTCCATAGCAGATGGGCACTGTGGGTGTTATGAATCTTTTCTGTCCACAGACATTAGCTTCCTAGTGCTCATGAGATGGCCCTTGGAAGTCCTTGACCCCCTCTCTGTCCCAGAAAGGCAAAGAGCCCTCGAGTGACAGTGCTGAGAAGCAGACAGGTGCCCTTGCATTACAGAAGGCTGCTTTTCCCCTAGACCTTGTAATGCTTTTGAAATTATCATCACTCAAGGAGGAGGACTTGGGAAGCAGTCCCTTATTCCCACAGCTGAGAGAAGAAAGGGAGTGTGTAATTGCTTGTGTTTCCAGCCCTGCAGGGCTGTAAAGCTTGCTGCTTGCCCATTACAGAATTTGATTTCACCAGCAGCATGACCTCAGGGTAGTTACTGCAAACTTCTAGTTGAAGAGGGACCACCAAGGTGGGTGAGTTTACTCCTAAAAAGAAGTAGTGACTGTGATACCCACCATGGCTTCCTCTATCTTGTGCACTGAGATGTGGCTTTACAGCTGACTGTCCCTGCCAGGGGCAGAGATGGGGTGCAGCTAGGTTTGCACGCTGGTCTGCCGAGCGTGGGGCAGTGCGTGGCACCAGTGTGATCCCAGCAATTGTGAGCCATCGGAGAGTCCCCGGCAGGTCAGCAGACAGGAGCTGCATCCCTCTGCCAAGTGCCACGAGGTGGGGAGGTGTGACTGCCGGGGCAATTCTGGAGCAGGGGGATGACCTGGGAGGCTGGAGATCCACCTTGGAGGGCTGTTGCACCTCCTCGCTTTTGCTTGCAGGCGTTTGCTGCCCAGGGCCTTGTCCTGCAAAGAGGAGGGCAGGACACAAGTCTGCTCCACTGGACCCTCTGGCTTTGCAGCTTCATTGAGCACAAGGACTGGGTGCTTCTAAAATTGAAACTGCTGACAAAAATCAGAGTTTCTACCTCAAATTACTTTGATTTGCTTTCCTTGCTTTATGGCCTGGGATGAACATGTTTCATGGATCCTGACTTTAAATTAGGGCTTGAGACAGAAGTCCTACTTCAGGACTGGAATCCAGGACAAGGCAAAGAAGTAGTATTTACACTGGGAGAATGGGAAGTGATTTTAATAGGAAAACAGCTTGCACATAGAAAGCCAACTGTTACCTCTCGGATACAAAGGAAAATGGCACTGTTAGCTTTAAATAACGTGCATTTCCAAGATGTTGCCCAGCTGTTAATCATTAACCCTGTAGCAGGTTGAAGTGTAGACAGATGTTCCAAAAGCAGTTTTATTTTCTGAAATAAAGAGAATGAAGCTATGAATTAGACAAATTAAGAAGAAATTCAAATATTTACACCCAGTTGAAACAAGATGCTGGAAAAACAGGCATGATAAAATTGCTGCAATTAAATGTAATTTAATTTGTAATTCTGAAAACATGCTTCTTCCAAAGGCAGCCTTTTGAGTTTTCCTCATGGAGTGCATTGTTGTGATGTATGGATTTTCCTGACTTATTATGGCATTTTAATCAACAGTTCAATGATGTGATAATATTCCTAAAGCAGAAAAATAAGTGACGTTTGTTTAGACATAATTAATGAAATATTTATGTTGCATGAGGCTGTGTGATAAAGCCTTGTTCTCTTAGTCCATTTGCTTCTGATTACATTTGTGATTTTTTTATATGACCAGACATTCTGACGCCAACTATTTTACACTGAGCAGATGTCATGTAGTAAAAATGGGTGCCAGATGCTACAAGCCACATAAGGGTAATTTGTTTAAGAGCTGGCTCAGACTTTTTGCATTCAATTACACTGTATAGTGAGCCTTATACAATCATTTGGGTAATATGCTAACTTCAGATATACATTTTAATGACTCTTGAGTGCATTCAGAACAGCATGCTTCATGCAGGGTGCTCAAGGAATTAATTTATTTGTATGTAATACCTGAAAAAAATTCGATATAGCCAGATAGTGTTTTTGACAGGGATCAAAAAATTTAATTAATACCATCAGCCACATTTCTAAATTGCTCTAGGTGCTGCCGATTAGAACTCAGGGCAGGTGCAAAGTGTCTTTGTAAGTTAAAGAACAGTATTTTTTGCTTCACTGACTGTTTTGTTCCTGTATTTTAGGGTGTGAACAGCTACCTGTCAGAAAACAAGCTGTGGAGTATTCTACTTCTTCCTCTGATGATGAATTTGTATCCAAGCCTTCATTAACACACAAGGTAACCTTGACTTGGAAACAGAAAGATATTTCCTCCGTTGGACTGTATTTAAGATTTATCACACAATTTTGATCTAAAACACACTGCAATTTCTCAAAGTGAGGATGGAACCACTTTATCAGTGGAGGTTATTTGTTATGGAGAGAAAAACACATTAAAACTCTTTAAGACAGATGAAAATAAAAATTTCTGTTTCCTATTTGGATCTCTAATTCTCCCAGGTTATGCCAACATTGACAGAGAAGGTCTTAATTTGAGAAGCAGACGTATTTCCCAGAAACCCTTTTGAAGCTGCATTTTTAAGTGGCTTTAATATGTAGCCCAACAAGCAAACTGTTGAAAAAATTAAACCAAACAGATGCAGATTTCCTTTGGGGAAATACAACTTCATTTCAGAGGCACTACAGGCAGATTGCATGGAAAATGCTGTGTTTATCCTAATCAGCACGGCCACGTGAGTCACGGAGTCGCACCCAGGCATTCTGTGCCAAGAGGGCCGGCTGCACACCGGGATCTCCAAGCCCGAACTCATTCCTGTGGCTGGCAGGAGCAACGGGATTAAAGCACCAGTGAACTCTTGGTACCCAGCTCTGATTTGAGGAAACAGAGCTTTTATTGCCTGGATAGATCATCAGAAATGTGTTTACCTCTTCCCTGTGGAGGGAATATCAGTAAGCAGAATTAATAGTATGAGGTGGCCTTTTGATTTGTTGCCTTTGAAGGGGCAAAAAAATAGGAAAACAAAGCAAGAGGCTGCCTGGTATGCTGCAAACACAACTGAGCTGAAAGCTCAGTGGGGCTTTGAATGGAAACCCTGTTGCACAGCTCCAGAGGGGCTTAAGTGCCACGAAGCAGAAGCACAGTGATGTGTAGCAGCACATCCCGCCGGTGGCTCCGTGTCAGGATGTGCCGAGAGGTCAGAATTCACCATTCAGCTTTCCTGTTACAGGAAAGACAGTCTATAGTAAGATAATATTATGGTGATTTAAATGAAGTTTAAACAAAATAGAGAAAATAAGGATAAAACTGAACAGGAGCGAGCCCCAGCAGTTCAGGCAGCCGCAGGGACAGGCAGGAGTGGGCAGAGGGGCAGGCAGCGCTGCCGGGGCAGCTGCCAGAAACGGGGTGAATGAGCAGCTGTCGCACATGGGTGTTAGCAGCCACCCCGTGTTGTCGCATGTTCCCTGCTCAGCTTGTTTCTCTCAGCTGCCTCCTAGCACCTCTTCTCATGCCAGTTTTGGTTGCTATTTTGCCAGTACCACCGTTTTTCTCTGGCAAAATTCATCAGGAGAAATTTTAATGGCTTCCTGGCTTGTTAGTTTTTTAAACATCTTGTCTATGGTGCTCATATATTCTGTCTCCTCCAAAATGGGAAAACCACAGCCTTTAAGCACTTCCAGGCAGCTTGAGTCAAGGGCAAGAGGGAGCAAGTGCAGGCAATTCCCTTGGCCAGCTCTGCAGCACATACTGTCCCGCTTTCCTAGCAGCAGGGCAAGTGCCCCAGGCAAAGGGCAAAAACCTCTGTAATGCAGTTGCGAAATGGCATGGGGAAGGTTTTGTAGGGCTTCAGGTAGTGCCCTGTGGTGGCTGTTTTGGATACCTTCCTCTTACCGTGTTACAAGCTATCCAAAGTGAATTTAACTACTTAGCATCAACAGCAATAGAAATGGATTGATTTTCCTCCAACTTGTGCTTCCCACCACCCGTGCCTGGCTTCTTCCTGGATCATGGTGAAGTCTGCAGAAGCCATGTATAGTGGTATGTTTTATATAGTCAACTTTGTGATTTGGACATTTTTTATTGATAGGCACAGTTCACACTCGCTTAGGGTTACAATAAGAGCTTGTAATGATTTCAAGTCAATGTGGGTAAAAGCATGAAAATATCCCTACATGAATATTTGCTTTTCAATTAGGTTGCCCCAAGCTCACCTTGCTTTGAGCAGGGGAGTTGGGTTAGATGACCTCCAGAGGTCTCTCCCAATCTCAACGGTTCTGTGATTCTGGGGAAGGTTTGAGGAAACCTGTGAAGGTGTACTTATGCTTTGATTGCCTTTTTTCTCTCTCTCTTTTGTAGGCAAAAAGGACACTCCGAAGGAGAAGGAAGCTGGAGAAGGAGACAAAGCAATTGATTAAACAAGAGGAACTGAAGAGGCTTCACAAAGCACAGGTGACAGCGTAGCTCGCAAACGTCCCATTTGTCTTCCACAAGTGACTAGCGAAGACAAGGGGTACCCAGTGTGGGCTCTGCACCTCCTCCCACTCCTCACTGTGGCTCATTGCCTTCTGTGTGGAAATACCCCCAAACCTCAGATCTCAGACTGTGTTCTCTCTGGTGTCAGAATTTTCAGGTTTATCTGAAACCACACACACCTATCTATATGCGCATGCATATATCAGCACACACACAAAGCTTAATGGCTTATGTGGCCATTAGCACTTCTGGTGTGTGTCTGTACTGTAGCACAGGGCAGAGAAACCTGAGCTAGATTTAATCTTGTTAATTCAGGTTGTAGTGGTAATCAAGTTAAGTTTTTTGAAGGCAGAGTTGTTCATCATCCTCTGTTGTATTACTATAGCAGGTGGATAGCCTTGGGTGGAGCTTCCACTTGCTATTTCTGTACCAATATTAAATTAAAAGAGAAAATTAATAAGTTGTTTCTTGGAAGCAAATCTGAAATCTCTGGTTTCGTAGACATTGCTGCTTTTGCAAAATGTATTACTGAAAAGGAAAGAAATTTTGTGTATGAACCACACAATGGATTTTAGAAAATGTTAATACCTGACCATTACTATAAAATTCATGACAGAATAAAATCCATGGGAAACAAGTAGTATCTTATTTAATCCAAAGTAAGAACAACTACATGTCATGGTTTAACCTCAGCTAGTAATGAAGTACAACGCAGCTGCTCGCTCACCTCCCCCCCACCCCTCCAATGGAGGAGGAGGATCAGAGGAAAAGAGAAGGAAGCTTATGAATTAAGAACAATTTAATAGTTGAATAT